GTATTTACTCTATTAGGATTGCATCTCTAATAGAATCACACGTATACAGTATTTACTCTTTTAGTATTGCATCTCCAATACAATCACACATATACAGTATTTACTCTATTATGATTGCATCTCCAATAGAATCACACATATACAGTATTTTCTCTTTTAATAGTGCATCTTCAATAGAATCACACATATACAGTACTTACTCTATTAGGATTGCATCTCCAATAGAATCACATGTACAGTATTTTCTCTTTTAATAGTGCATCTTTAATAGAATCACACATATATAGTATTTACTCTATTAGGAGTGCATCTCTAATAGAATCACACATATACAATATTTACTCTATTAGGAGTGCATCTCTAATAGAATCACACATATACAGTATTTACTCTATTAGGAGTGCATCTCTAATAGAATCACACATATACAGTATTTACTCTTAGATGCACATCTCCAATAGAATCACACATATACAGTATTTACTCTTTTAGTAGTGCATCTCCAATAGAATCACACATGTACAGTATTTACTCTTTTAGTAGTGCATCTCCAATAGAATCACACATATACAGTATTTACTCTATTAGGATTGCATCTCCAATAGAATCACACATATACAGTATTTTCTCTTTTAATAGTGCATCTTCAATAGAATCACACATGTACAGTATTTACTCTATTAGGATTGCATCTGCAATATAATCACACATATACAGTATTTTCTCTTTTAATAGTGCATCTCCAATAGAATCACACATGTACAGTATTTACTCTATTAGGATTGCATCTCCAATAGAATCACACATACAGTATTTACTCTTTTAGTAGTGCATCTCCAATAGAATCACACATATACAGTATTTACTCTATTAGGAGTGCATCTTTAATAGAAGCATTTGAAAACAAACAGTTGCAATCTGTATACTAGTTTTTTGACCCAAAGACACACATGTGCTATTTATGTTGTGCAGTGTTTTAAAATACTCAATTTCAATGACAAAGCAATAAGATAAAGCTTTCTTTGGTGGTTATACACAGGTTGAGAGTTATGTGTATGGTCATTTCGAGTTGGAGTACCTTCTTTTAGAAGGTCATTGCATTGACCTGACGACAGGTCAGCCGCCCAGAGGAATGCAGTTCACATTAGGAACTAATAACCAGCCAGTAACTGTGGATACAATTGTCATGGCAAACTTGGTAAGACATTATTCATTACAACAAATATTTCAAGTGCAGATCATGTTTAAATTTAACATAAATATATAAACATGCAACAATAATTTTCATGCATTGTATTCATCACAAACATTACACGATTAAAAATTTCTGGATGTTTGTAGCGCCCTCTAGTGGTGACAAAATATAGTATTATGGAACAACTTTGTGAGTAATGATTGTACTGTGAAATTTATTATAACATCTTCGTAGACTACAACCTGATATATAACATCTCATCAGCAATAGTGTGTTTATTCTGCGGAACACTTATCTCTTGATCTCTATGGTACTGTATGAGTAAGTTGCTGTGGTAAATCTCAGTAACACCAAACATCAATTAAATATTTTGGTTCGTGGGCAACATTTGTATTACATTGCTGATAGCTTGTTGCGAGATATCCCCTAAAAAAACAAAATGTGGATGCTTAGACTTTTTGAGCGTATGTACAATGTGATGGCCATAAAGCCACTTGAAAGGAAAATAAACTTTTACTTTAATTGGTCTATCTCCAGCTCTTAGATGTTGCTATGTCTTCAAAACATTTTTTGATGTACATATCCATGCCATGTGGTAAACTCTTTCATTCACTATTTGATTGCAGGGTTACTTCCAACTCAAAGCTAATCCTGGAGCATGGTTACTAAGACTAAGACAAGGACGATCAGCAGATATTTATGAGATTGCCAAGTAAGAATTAATCCTATTTCTCTATTTTATACTGGTCTACCAATCAGAAGTCAGGCTTATTATGAATTAACCAATTAAAAGCCTCTCTCATTGCAACTTAACCAATCAGAAGCCATGTTTATTATGAATGAACCAATTAGAAGCCAATCTCATTGCAACTTAACCAATCAGAAGCCATGTTTATTATGAATGAACCAATTAGAAGCCAATCTCATTGCAACTTAACCAATCAGAAGCCATGCTTATTATGAATGAACCAATTAGGGGTTGTGCAATGTTTTGAGAAGTTTTTTGAACATTGCATATATATCTTCTGTCGGAAAGCAAAAAGGAATGGAAACTGTTCTATTTTTTTGGAATTGCTATTTTCATCTACTAAAAATGCATTAATTAGTCACTGGTTTTTATTTTCACTTTTTTCATTGATAAGTAAAATTCACTAAATTAATAGATAGAACAATAGAACTCATTGTTTCCCTGCCAAGATCATGAAATTGCTCAAAATAGTGAAATTAAATGCCAGTGAAAATAAATGGTTATACATATATCCCATGACAACCATGCTCCCTATCCCATCATCACTTGTCAGCTTAAGATGGTGACTATTTTCAAACACTTGATAATTCTATTTTAGCCATGATGGAACAGAGACTCTGACAGACTCGGACGATGTTGTCGCAGTCATGGATAGTTTTAAAAGTAAAATACTCCGAATCAAAGTGAGTCCTTGTTGGTTATTTAAATATTCTGTGATGTTGCATTATATCAGTTGCCATTTGCAACAATGATTACAATTAACCTTTTAATTGTCAAAATCAACTTTCGCAATTTTTCACAAAATAAACCTCCATGTTTTTTTGCAAAATCTTCAATCAAGACATGTTTTCAATAGAAAATGTTGTCAATTTGGTTCAAAAATAAATAATAATAAAATTGTTCAAAATTTGCACCTAAACTTTCATAAGAAAACCTGGCATTCAAAAACTGATGTTTACTTTTGAATCCATTAGATTTGTTGAAATAGACCTGGCCTTTTCGTAGGTGAATCTAAAAATCTGAAATGACCCATAACTATAAATTCATATCCAAACTATTCTACACAGTGTATCTCTATGTTTATTTCGACTCTTTATTTTCCTTATTTGTACAGGTTCAAAAGAAACCAGAAAAGATGGAGGAAGATTTGTTAGTGAGTGACGATGATGATGAAGATGAGGATGGTGGAATCTGGCATTCCATTTCAAGGTAACCATGACAATGATAACTGCTTAATATTTGATTGCTCATAATATATTTGTTTAATGGTGTCATAAATGTGTTAAACAATTGTGGAAATGTGTTTTTTATGGTGTGGGACAAAATTAAATATACACTTGGTTTATATTGCTGGTTCAACATTTTTTCTTCTTTATGAACTTCACTATTGAGGGCACTGTCCACAATTATGACATAATTTAGTAAAAGCAGGAGTTTGTTCTACCATATTCACTTCACTTTGCATATTATTGCCGGCAACGCCAGTATGGAATATTGACTAAATGTTTGGATCTTTAGTTGAAATCCTTGCAATAACCTCATATTATACTTTTTTTATATTAGAGTTATTTACTTTCTTCGTCTAAAAAACTTAATTTTTAATAGTATCCCCAATTCAAAAAACTTCACGCAAATATGATAAATACTTGCTTTTTCTACCACCTTTAAAAATGTTACTAACACTCATTCTTCAACTGTCTTCTTTTCTCTTCGTTCCTTTGTCTATTTGTTATATTTTTTTCCTTGTCTTTTTGTGACATTTCCTTTTTTTGCATGTTGCATGTGTGTGTTTGGATGTCTTGATTATCTATCTGTTGGTCTCTTCCTCTTTTGTTGATGTAGTTCCTTTTCTAGTTTCACTGGAAGAGGAGGAGAAGACAACAAAGATAGTAAAAAGAAGAAGAAATCTGATGAAGATAAAGATCAGACATTGAACATCTTCTCACTCGCATCAGGCCATTTGTATGAAAGATTTCTCAGGTATTACTTTTATGTTTTCATATTAATGTCACCCATAGAAGGCCATTGACTATACCTGACTATAATCAGCCATAATGCAGAAAGGCAAGAAAATAAAAAAAATAAATTAAATCAGGTAAAAGGGTCTTTTTATTTGCATTTGTTCTAAAACCATACAATTTGTGAACCAAAATTTTGGAAGGCAATTTTTTGTTCAAATTATGTAAACCTAAATTTCAGATAAAGCTACTAGTATATAAAGTGAATACACTTGCTCACCTTGGCAGTAAATGCATACTGTCAACTGTAATTTATCAGTTTATTTATATTTATTGCTATCAGCAACTTAATTTAATATTATATATCATATGTTTTTTTTTTATTTCCATAGAATAATGATGTTAACTGTTTTGAAAAATACAAAATCTCCAGTCAAGTTTTGGTTTCTTAAAAATTATCTCTCACCAACATTCAAGGTAAGTGTTAGCTCATTGGAAAAATACAAAATGGGTGAATTTTCACACTAGGGTTTTCACTTTTCTCCAAATAAAATAATCTCTGTGAGCAATCTTGAACTGTGATTAGTATTACCTTGACACAGAATACCCTGTCTCCTTGACATGCCTGCAATGTGTGAATGAAATTTCCATTTGTAATATAATTTGATAATAATACACCACACAGCTAATAAACATGGTTCATTCTATAATACTGTATTGCCTCTGTTTATAAATGTGCCCCATTATTAGAAGCACTAATATGACATGATTGTTTGTTTTGACTTATTTCTATTAGTCTCATTTCCAAGGATTATACATTGAGCAATTTGTGGATAATCTGCACCACTTGGGACTTGACTTACAGTTCAACTCTGTCCCCAAGGAATCAGTTTACCCAGTAATATGTGCACAAATTTGCTCTAAAAATATAGCATTTAATTTATTTAAATTGATTGCTGAGATCATTCATAAAGCTGTATTAGTGTCCTAATATTAGGAAATATGTAATAAATATTCAATAATCAAGGATTTTCAAAATGTCTGAATGTTAGACATTTTTTTTGTTTGTTAATAAATCATTTTTGATAAATATCAATTCACAAAGATTCGTCTCTGGAACATAATAGATCCACAAAATCTTTATGAATGCATTCAGAGTGCAAATTTAGAGCATAAAATCTCATAATTTTATATCTTCCAATAGGAATTTATACCACACATGGCAACGGAATATGGATTTGAATATGAGTTAGTACAGTATAAATGGCCACGATGGTTACATCAACAAACTGAGAAACAAAGAATTATATGGGGGTGAGTACAGGGTGTTTATTAAAAGTAGAAAGGTCAAGGTGCAATACAAGATGACAGGTTGTCAATTTATACCATCCATGACAACAGAATACAGATTTGAATATGAATTAATACAGTATAAATAGCCAAGTGGCCATGGCGGTTTCATCAAGAAACTGAGAAACAAGAATTATATTGGGGTGAAGTAGTAAGGTCAAGGTGCAAACAAGATGACAGCTTGTCAATTACTGACTACCAGAGTAAGAAGAGAGTCAAATCATGTATGCATAATTACATCATTTGTATGACGTAAAACCATATTTAATTGACAAATGTGACATAATGGGTGTGGCCTAGCCTTTATTAGTACTGAGATGCTCACTGTCTGTCTGTTCTCTGAATAGCTATTTAAATATATTTGTTGCTTCATATCTTTGCATTTAACTCAAGAGTTTTCATTGTAATTCAATCAAGGGTTGTCAATTGACGGAAACTTTCCACTATCTCAGTAAATAATCTAATTGTTTTGCAATATACAATTTATTTGTAGGTATAAAATACTTTTCTTAGATGTACTTTTTCCACTGGATGTTCAAAAAATTATTTTTGTGGATGCTGATCAGGTGAGAAATCTGATTTCAAATTTGACTTTCTTCAAAACTATTCCAGCAATATTTCATTGTTGATTTACCCAAGACATGTATAGTACATTTGAATGGTTGAAAATATAAACATGTCATAGATTCCAGTCAAATGTGTCAATTCCCAATCCTACACATTTTCAACAGAAAGAACATAATATTCTATGTCAACTACGCTTGTTTTTTTAATATCAACCACCTGTGAGATCATGTGTACCTTTGTGCACCTGCAGAAAACACATGTATCTGCTAGAACACATGACCTGAGAAAATGTGCACCGGTGAGAACTTGTGCATCCATGAAAACATGTGTACTTCTATTAAAACACGTGCACCCACTAAAATGATGACCCATGAGAAAATGTGCAACTGTGAAATATGACATGAATTTATAGTATTCTGTTTTTGTCTTATGCAAATATATTCTGGTCAATACATTTCCCATAATGTGATTCATAAAACAGAGTCAAAATGTTTGAAAGTTGCCCACGGTTCCCATAATACTTTCACATCACCCTCTAAAACACATGACCCATGAGAAAACATGCACACTACTGGCAGAATGTTCATCCATGAGAACATGTTATGGTCATGTATGGAGGTTTCATTCAAACTTGGTACAAACACTAAACAGTATGGGAACCTGATGGCATGTCTGCTTGTTTTTCAAGTCACAATTTTAATGAATGCAGTTCTAAGGCTTTATCTCCGACATGTCATGACAAGTCATATTCAAACTTTACATATACATCATGTCGCACATGCACATATTTATTCATTTGGGTATTCAATATGGCTGAATTGTGGTTGTTTTAATGTTAAAAATTCATCAAAATCAATTATTTCTGGATTTGATATCTGTCAGGATTTTGTTCAAACTTGGTTTGTACATTGAATTTTATACAACCTTAATGCAAGTCGTATTGTTTGTCACGTAGCCATTTTTTTTAGTGAATGCTGTTTTGGTTGCATTATCTCTGACATTCTCTGACTGTTCATGTTTGATATTTATATATTTAATTTACTTGACTATGTAATGCAATTATTTGTTGTTATTATTTCATCTTAGATTGTGAGAACAGATCTACAGGACTTGGCTGATTTTGATCTTGGAGGTGCTCCCTATGGTTACACACCATTTTGTGATAGTAGAAAAGAAATGAATGGTTTCCGATTCTGGAGATCAGGTTATTGGGCTTCTCATTTATCTGGAAGAAAATACCATATTAGGTAAGGTAATATGTCAGAGATCCAGAGCTGACCAAGAAGTTTTCACTTGGCTTAGATTTAGGTAACATCATAACCCACAACCCGTTAACTTGAGTGTGTTTCCCTCTTTATTCTGATACGTGAATTTTCACGTAATTTAAGTTTACTTTGTAGCAACAAGCTACAAAAGCTACTGCTTACCATCGCTATTGGATACTGTCATCCTCACCACATGCTATGAGTAAAGCAGATATGTGCTGTCATTGTGTACCATTCAGCATGTCTTCTTTGCATCATGAAAAGCATCCCATAAACATATGATATGATACATTTTGTATTCTATTTGTTGTCCACACAGTGCTTTGTATGTTGTTGATTTGAAGAAGTTTCGCAGAATTGCTGCAGGAGACAGGTTACGTGGACAGTACCAAGGACTTAGCCAAGATCCTAATAGTTTATCTAATTTAGATCAGGTATGATTTTTTTAATGGCACAAAAAGAAGAAAATTGTGTAATGCGCATCATTCTTTTGATTTTCATCTTATCACCTTCTCATGGATTTTCTGTATTATTATTTAGATCATGAATATCTGTCCATTGTACCATCAATGTACATATAAACATCAGTATAATAATAATAATAAAAAAATATCTTACATTATTTAAAATACTTATCTAAATAGGACATAGATCTATCTAGCCAGTGTATAAATGTTTGTACTATGGTACTCAAACATTACAAATATTATTATGTTTTTGGTTGCTGATTATCGCCTATTTGTTGTGGGATCCCGTAACTTTTTAGATTGTATATGAAA